GGGATCAATTTGTTCCAGTTTGAGAGGAAAATACGACGGTGTAGTTTGAAAAAAATTGGCACGCTCGGTAGCCCAGGAGTTAGCAGTCTTCATGGGCAAGACACCGTAGAAGCACTGTATGGCGACATCGAGACTGACGAGGCGCCCTACCTTCAAGCCACCGATTCGCGTGCCTATGCGATCCCAGGCATACAAAACACGGCGTTGACACTGACCCCTGTCTGAGCACAGCACCTGCAATCTAACGGTTATAGCGGTAACCGTTGCTTGTTGTTTAACTGATAGCAGTTGTGCTGCATGTAGAAAAAATGTGGAAGACAGGGATGAATAAATTAACTGCTACAGTTACCATCATCAGCTATCATCAGGCGCAGGCTAAATTGAACAAGTATTCTTTCTGTGATAAACACCTGTCTCGATGCTTAGTCCTTCAGATTTCTGCTTTAAGAATCACTGTTAAGATTAAAGTGCTGTAACTAGTTAATTACACTTATTCCCGTTTGGCATAAAATTGAATATACTACTTAACTGAGTGCTGCCTTCCACCGTCGTCTCAGCCTCCGCTCTTCGTCTTCGCCCCACCGACTGGACCCATCCAGCTGCCAAAAACGAAGTGAGTGAATGAGCGGGAGGTTATTAAAGGTAATGACAACACCAAATGTTAGGCATGTGTCTTTCAAAGTTAGGTGGTGAACCTTGTCGTCAGACTAAATCGCTCTGCCCTCGACCCGCCAATATCCGTGCCTATGCGGCCCCAAGCACGCAAAACTCAGTGTTGACGCAGCTTCTTGTCTGAGTGCACCATCACCTGCAGTCTAATGGTTATAACAACAAGTATCAGCATGCACATGCGGGATTGGACGGGTATTCCTTTCTGCTACAATCATCTGTCTCGATGCTCGGGTCCTTCAGATTCCCACTTTGAAAATAATTGAGAAGGTTGAAGACCTATCGTCAGTTAATTGCACGCATTTGTTTGATATAGCTGAATAAACTAAATAACCAAATGCACGAATACAACAAACCTAAGAAATAAAGCCGACGCCAACTTCTGGGAGGGAAAGGGGAAATAAGAAAGTCTGACCTATAATACGAGTGCGAGATGAGTACGAGGTCAACCATGTCAAGGACGACGGAGAGCGGAAGACCGTAGACGGTGCAAGTGAAGGTGGCGCAGTCCTCGGGGTGGGATCCACTACGGCATCGCTCCTCACACGTAACCGCTGCAATCCATCGCTACCGCTTTTCACCACCGTCTCGAACTCCACTCTCCGCTTTCGCCCTGCCGACTGTACATGCTGAGCTGCCAAAACGAAGTAAGCGAGTAAGAGCGGAAGATTGTCAAGACTGGTGACACTACCGAATGGCAGGCATGTCTTTCAGAGTTAGATCAAGAAAGAAATCATAAAAGACTCGGTTTACCTAGATTAATAATCCCACCCGGGTCTGAGAAAAGAATAAAATGGGGGAAACAGAATCGATTTTCCTCACCATGCTTATAATGTGGAGAACAAAAAGGAGCTTAATACCATCGAGATCCTTATCAATTTCATCCTTTTCGACAATGTCAAGCTAGTCTGTGGGAAATAAAAAAAAGCGTAGTTAGGTTGTTTTACTTTAACACATACTACTTAAAATATTGTTCAAGGACCAATTTCACCTTAAAAATCTGCCAACATGTCTTGGAGGTTCAAATGTAGCACACAGGGTGAAGAGTGGGTCAGCTATGTTGACAGCTAAAAGGCAAGTCGTTTCCTTAACCAACATAACCAAATTATGTTGTTGCAAGATCTCGCATCGAGTTAGTCTCAATGGTGGGCGGACATGGACGAACTACAGAGAGCAAGCAGGGGAAACCAACAAGCATACGCAAACAAAACGGCAGCTACATATTAAGGCCT